AGAAGTGAAAAATCGGGAGTGAAAAATCAGAAGAGAGAGTAGTGAGGATGCTGGTAAGTAGTGGGGACATCTATTGTGAGTGGGGACCATAAGCTGAGTTTTTTTTAATATGTATTCCTGGTGGGGCCCACTTTTTAGTGGGGTCCATGCCCCCCCTTCCCATACTGAATCCGCCATACTGCTAGATGTGAAGAAACAGGGATGAGCATATGGACCGGGGAAAACCGCCGAACCGGTACCGGGACCAACCCGATGGAACCGGTCGGGAGGGACCGCTAGTATAATTTCTTCAATTTTTTGGACTGGAACCCAGTAAGAACCGGTCGTTGGAACCGGCCCAAAACCGGGAACCGGACCAGATAACTCACTCAAATTTTGAAAGTTGCATAACTCACAGAATTTAAATTTTTTTGACCTGGATCTATTTCCTACATGTAGATTATGATTTGTAGTTAAATTTAGATTACAAAAACGCTTGATTTGGTTAAAAATGGAATGAGTTACAAGTCCCGCAAGGAAAGGGTATCAAATAAAGAATTTTTTTTTATGTTTCAGCAATTAAATGTAATCTGACTTTGTTGTTCAAATGTGCATATATCACTTAATTTAACTTGTTTTGACATGAATCTTTTTCCTACATGTAGATTAGGATTTGTAGTTAAGTTTAGACTATAAAAACGCTTGATTTGGTTAAAAATTGAATGAGTACAAACCCCGCAAGGAAGGGTGTCAAATCAGAATTTTTTTTTATGTTACAACAATTAAAATAATCTGACATTGTGTTCAAATGTTCATAACTCACTCAATTAAAGTTTTTTGACCTGATTTTTCCTACACGTAGTTTATATTTGTAGTTAATTTTAGACTATAAAAACGCTTGATTTGTTTTTAAATTGAATGAGTTACAAGCCCAGCAAGAAGGGTGTCAAATCAGAATTTTTTTTGTTACAACAATTAAACATAATCTAACTTTGTTGTCAACGTGCATAACTCAATTAATTTAAGCTTTGTTTGACCTGAATCTTTTCCTACACATAGTTAGGTTTTGCAGTTAAGTTTAGCCTATAAAAACGCTTGATTTGGTTAAAATTTGAATGAGTTACAAGCCCCGCAAGGAAGCGTGTCAAATCAAACCGGTTCCAAAATCGAAAACCCGGTAAAACCCGGAACGGTAGAACCGCCGGGCCGGTTCGGTTCTTGATTTTGGCCGAAGCCGGTTCCCGGGTCGGGCCGGTTTCGTCCGGTTCGGTTCGTTTGCTCATGCCTAGAAGAAACCATTTGTACACGACCACATGAAGGTGGCAATGTACATGCATCGACCACCATGTTTTCGGGGATATCAAGTATATATCTGAATCATATCTGATACCTTTAGAAACGATTATGTTGTCTTAAATAGGCCCCGAAAGCATGATTTCATCAACATGCTACTAACATCGGTTTTCACGATAACCAAACCGATTCATCTATGTTTATCTAAGAATCATTTAATTCCATCACATACCAACTTCTATATGCACATGACATTATTTTCACAATGTCTTCCATCGAGCTTCTTTAATAGTTAGTTCAATAGTGAATTTGATATAATAGACATTGCTACACTTAAATTATATTTTAGGCATCTCCTGTTTATTCACCTATACGGAAATTTTTATATCAACAAAAGTACAGAACAGATATTCTATGTGTGTTATTATAGTACAATAAAATCCCATAACTCCATTCGAAATAGTTCAAAAATTCGATTCGATAGGCACCTTGATAGATTATCCTAGTTTATATCGTAGTTTAGTCGGTATATCATAGCAACGTCTATCATAGTAAATTCACTATTGAACTTACTATTAAAGAAGGTCAATGGAAGACATTGTGAAAATAATGTCACATGCATATAAAAGTCAGGATATGGTAGCATGGAATGATTCTCAGATAAAAATAGATGGATCGGTTTGGTTATGATGAAAATCGATGTTAGTAGCACTAGGAATTTCATCTTGCCCATGATATGGAGCAAACTAGACATCTATATCTAACTACAGACTATGAAAATTTGACATTCGGAGTTCTAATGAATTTATTATAATTTTTGAAAGACAACTTATGAAATATGTGACAATACATACCAGTTTAAGAAGATTGTGAATTATACCCTACAAGAAGTTGGAATTTGTAAATTTAATTCAAAGTTTAGGGAAACTAGACTCATCAAACTTTCCAGAAGACTAAAATTTATGATTTTGGAGCTTTCGATATTCTTGTAGATTTTTAGAAGTTGAGGAGATTCAGTGAAATTGATCATATTTACCTTTAGGTCACTTTAGGTGTCCCATGCAGGACTTAATGATTAAGCTTTAACTTCAAAACTTTTATCATAATAATGGTTACTTATTAGGCTATCAATATATGTAATTCAAGTTAACCCAAACGTCTTGATTCTTGGCTTAATGAGCATTTAGAGTTAGGAACTTGACATAAAAAATCATCTTATTAGGGTTAAGTTACAACCCATTACGCTCCTTATGACACCAAATGTATTAAAAATTGAGTCCCTCATAAAACTACCACTTATTGGTGGTCGGATGGTGGTGTTGTGGTGGTCAATAATGGTCAAACTACCCCAAAACAAAGAATGATGCTGATTAAGTATAAGTGGAATGATTGAAAATAATGCTTTTACATTCATTGTGAACCATCAAAATAATACAACCATAAGCGCATTTGCAGGGTGGCCTATGGTGGCTGAAACAAACACACACACACACACACATCGGCAGCAGGAGGTAGCTGGTGGTTATGGGCGACAATCGACAACCAACTTCACAAAACAATAGAAATCGAAGGGCCAATGGTAGGAAGTAAATGCACCACCCAAAACACCCACTCTTTGGGGGCTGTTAGTGGCAGAAGGAACACGTCGACGATCGTGGTTGCGGAAGTAGTGGTGGCTATTCCCGGTAGCCAAAAGAAAAATAAAAGAAAGTGGAAATGAGATTATTTGATACTTAATACGGTTAGATTACGATCTTTACCCGTCAGTACCTTCCTCCTCCGGTAACTATCGCCGACGAAGATATTGACTCACTCTTCTTCAAAATCCCTTCGTTGCATTCTTTTATTATTTTTTTCTTTTTTCTTGATACTGATTCTTGGCACAAACGATCAAAAACTATGGTGCTTGAGTGGAGCTCTTAAGGGCATACATAAATTGGAGTCGGTCACAAGAAAAGTGCCCAACTCTCTCCCGACGATTTCCAAGAGAGAAATACAGGTATTACAATTTCATCCCTAATTCTCCCATAACGACACTATCTACCCAGAAAACAAATTTCTTGACTAAAGACACATTTACAACTTGTCACATTCAACCCCTTACCTTAAATTTATTATTATTATTATTATTATTATTATTATTATTATTATTATTATTATTATTTTAGTTTCACATTTATTATTTTATTTCTTAAAATTTATCGAATGCCTTTCATTCGTTCTATTCATTAAAAGCTCTTTAGAGTTTTTATCCATAATTATAATATTATTAATATTAATTAATGCTAGTTTCTGAAATTTCTAACGAGAATTAGAACGTTACATCCCACCTCCTAAAGCTACAATTGTTTATTGAGGCAACATTATTGACATGTACATTACATCTAATTCAGTTCAACACTCGCACACTAAATACTCTAAATACATAGAGACTACATTTATTTTTTACGACCACATTAACCTAAATTCCGTCAAGCTCAAAATAGGTGGAAATCTTCATGATTGGTGTATTGAATTCTCTATTCATTGATTTCTAATTAAGTTTGAACATTTGAAAAAGTCTCATCTCCTTATCAAACTATCGCAAGTGTTAGTGTTAGTGCATAGCCTGCCTATGGCCGGTTCTTTAAAAGTTTTATTATATTTGTAATTATGTGATTTAGATATCGAGGAGAAGGTCCACAATTACCAAATCTTTAGGCACGCAAGAAACCTAAACACGTCTAGTCTTCTGATTCTTGATTCCGATCGATCTCAGCCCACATGACTAGTAATTGCAACACGATGCTTCTCGTTAACAAAGTAATATACTTTTAACGTTTATTCAAAAATATTTAACGAGACCAACTTAACCAAGATATAATTAGTCATCTCATACCTTCAAGACAACAAGTTTTCCTATTGAAATGGAATCTATTAAAAGGAATGAGGCATCATCTGTATTGCTAATTGACGTTTTAGAAAGAATAGCTGTGAAATTCAAAAATAAGGTTAAGTTTAAAGTTATTGTCCTGCCAAAAAATATTGATCATAATGTTTCAAAAATAAGGTTAATGTTTTAAAGTTATTGTCCTGCCAAAATATTGATCATAATGTTTCAGGATTTACCCCCACATGATAACTCTACGGCGGGTTCGGTGTAGGCCGTCGGAATGATACATTTAACCTCTTTTTTTTTTTTTTTTTGTTTTTCATAGTACGTATCCCAAGTCTAAAGTTGTATTGACCCAAACTATTTTAATCAAAAACATATTTTTAGACAAGAGGAAGTATAAGAAAGAAATATGATATAAAATGTCTTAATAAGACAATGTATTTGTCGGATAAATTCATAATTAGAATTTGACCACATGCTTTTAGACATCTTTGTTAGCATGGAGATGATATACACTAGGAAAAGAAACCGACAGAAAGTAGCATTGTTGCTAGTTTTTCATGAAAACAATTAAAAGAATAAAATGCATCTGCTGAGTCTTTCTTCAACCGCTTAGCTGATCGGGGGTTTTAGAAAACAGGGATACTCTGTGGGCGCCTAAAGAAATTGTGAGGATCGACTTTGGCCTTGATTCGAATCACTTCTTGAAGTTGTCCCTCCTCTAGTATCTCTCACCCCAAACACTTGCTTCTTCATAGTTAGCACTTCCAACACCCAAATCCATATCATTGTAGTTGGAATATGCCTCTCTGGGGTTGTTTGACACATAACGCCTCATTAACGCATCCAAGCTTCACAGCCAAGCTATCCTCCTGAGGGATGTAGGGGTTGTGTCTGAAGGTTGACCGTTAAAATCGACAGTCTTGAGAATTTGTAACAACACGCCCGCTCTATGAGGATATGGAATTGCAGTCTCTGAGAAATCAGCCATCCTTCCGCCAAATGGATTGATCATCAGAAGCGCTGATTCATCGTTTTGGATAAGCTTTCTCCATATCTTTCTGAGCCCACTTACGGGGATGGGTGTCCGGACATAATCTGATTTGCTTTTGTTGTTCAGCTTGGCAATGGCAGATCGGTTCGTAAGAATCTGAGTCGGGGTGGAGCTTGGCAAGCCCCAAAACACAAGGGTCGACTGGACCATTCTAATTTCTTCACAAATCTCTCGGGTAACACCGAGCTCTGGAAATTTTCTGGAAAGCAACGGAAGCAATGTGTCGGTTGTGCCCTGATATATTCCTTCAAACATAATTCTTATGGTTTTCTTGGTGGTGTTGCCGATATATTCGGCAAAAACTTGAGTTCTTATGTGCAAATTTCTATCGATATTTGGTGCAACGTATTGATATTTATGGAAGATTTCGGTTGCCCCTTGTTCCAAAGTTTTATTCACTATAAAGACGGTTACTTTTTTTGGAACTGGAACCAAGCTCAGCTTCCATGCAAGAACAATTCCGAAACTTGAAGAACCACCTCCTCGGATCGCCCAAAACAAATCTTCTCCCATTGATTTCCTGTCGAGAATATTCCCATCAACATCCATGAAGCGAGCATCCAGAACATTATCGGCAGCAGTACCGTATTTTCTCAACAGGTTTCCGTAGCCACCACCGCCCATGTAACCACCAACACCCACCGTTGGGCAAACACCTGCCGGGAAATACAAGGTATCGGTCTCTCGCGAAATTTTGTAGTAGAGTTCACCAAGCGTAGCGCCTGCTTGGACCCAAGCAGTCCTTTTTGCTACGTCCACGTCTATAGACCTCATGTTGGTGAAATCAAGCATAACAAAGGGAACATCAGCAGTGTATGAGAGCCCTCGTAGTCATGGCCCCCACTCCTGATCCTGATCTCGTAGCCGTGTTTCTTGGCGCAGTATACACATGTTTGTATAAGGGTTTCCTCCATAGGTGTCACGATGACTGATGGTCTACGTGTGGAGGGCTTAAGGAACCTGGTGTTTTGAACTGCCACTTGCCAAATGGGTAGGAAGGAAGCATTGACAGGGGTGAAAATGAGTGAGAGATGGTAGTCACATTCTTGGATTTGGACAGTAGGCAGCTTATTAGATCGCCAGAACTTGAGGATGATAAGGACGTTGCCCATGAAACACAAAACAAGAAACTTAGAACCATGAGCAAAACTGAAGAACTAAGTTGAGACTTCTTCATGTTTAGTTAATTTGGTGAGCTTGATCAATAGCAATGGCTTATTTACATAGAGCAGAGAGCATATAGTTGACTTCAAATGGGGTTATAAAAATTGTGATCAGTTCAAATTAAGGTGTTTGAAAAACCTCGGAACGAGGATGGTGATCAATTCAAAGGTGTTTGAAAAATGCGGGAAGGAGGATGGTGTTCAACTGATTCTATTTTAGGGTATACAGGTGCAGCGTTGAAGATATATGGCGTGTTGACTTATTCCCTATAGAGTGCTTAATTCGCATTCTAAAAACCAATGAAGCAATGAACAAATTGATATTACGTATGTTCAGATTTTTAGCCTTTCTCTTTTAACTTTCTGATTGAAATCTTTGCTAAAATTTGAACCACCCACGTTTTTATAATAATTATCAAACTCATAAATAGAACGTATCTCATCAAAAGTATATTTTTCTCAAACATAAATTGAAAATATTTCTTACGAATATATGTGGTTAATTTCCTGGCGCCGAATACCAAGTCCAGGGACTAGTTTGTAGATAAAAGGTTGACTTTGACTTTGGAATATAAGCATACAAATTACAAAGCGATTTTACTTTTAACACTAATTCAAATGCTGGGCTCCTCACCGTTCTTAATTAATACTCAAAACCTAAAAAATATGATTAAGTTTCTTAATTATACAATTTTAATACATTCTTATTTAATATAAGTAAGTTATAGATTTCTTTAGAACAACTAAAATTAACATTTAAAATCCCCTAAATAAAGGTAGAATATTCGTATAGTAATCAAAACACATAATCCATCACTAAAATAGAATAAAATAAAAATAGAAATCGTGTGATAATTATGCAAAATAAAATTTGGAGACTTATATGGTGAATTTTGGGGATCAAAGATCGGCAAATTGCCTACGCACTCAAGGCCTGTTTGGTTGCTACCGCCTACGGTCCCGGCCAAGGGTCGTTTGAAGGATTAAAGAATGAGACACTCATGTAGTTGGTTCTCTATCCAGACACAAGACCTGCTTGGCTGCTAACGATCATTTCAACGTCAATCAGTAGATTGTGATGAGACATTCAGGCCGGTTGTCAAAACAAAAAAAAAAAAAAAAAAAAAAACACATTATCAGCAGTATGAAAGTCTGTCTATCTGCTAGAAAGTGGCGGATCCAGCCCGGAAGTCAAGTGGGGTGCATTGTTGACCGTTGACTATGTAAATTAATAATAATAATAATAATAAAACACTTAAAAGTAGAATAACATTAAAATATTCAACTAAATGTCATTTTACAATTGAAATCTACGAGGGGACATAGTTAAGAAACGTTTGATAATACTTTCATTCGTGACCTTGGAAAATTCTTCTGTTTCAAGCGCGCAAATTTCACAATCATTTAAAAATACATCCGAAATCCGATTCCGCAAATCTAACTTGACAAGCTTCATCGTCGAAAAACATCTCTCAACCGTTGCGGTTGCAACTGGCAAAAGCAATGACAACTTCAATAACTGGTAAACCAAAAGAAAGTTAAGATGCATATTGCTTTCCACAATCACCTTAGCAAGGTCGGATATACTCTTCAAAGTAGCAAATCTTGCATCTTGTTTCATAAAAGTGGGGTAAACCCAAAGTTCATTTAGAATATTCAACCTATCTTTAAAGGTAAAATCATGTGGATAGAAATCGATCAACTTCTGTAACTTTGATTGGTCAAAGTCACAAAATGAATCATGTGGATTCAAACCTGTCATACAAATGAGCAATTCGGAACTGACTTCATTAAAACGATCACCGAACTCTTGAATTTGCATATCCAAAACCATGTTGAAACAAAAAAAACTCGTAATAATGGCGATTGGAGATATTGGTGTACTGTCTTCAGGCTCTTGGATTAACATAAACTTCCTCCATGTTCACCATTTGAATGTTATTATTCTCACAAAAAGAGGTGATATCCAAAATACGTGCATCAAACCCATCATTTCTCATATTTTTTTAAAGTTGCAGTGGTTGATTTTACCAAACTTATAACGGGATTAAAACGTCTTCCCCTATTTCCAAACATTCTTACACGGTACTTTTTAAGACGCGGTTGACATTGTCCTTTAATCAAATATTTTCGTCTTATATTGTCTCTTTAATTAGGGTGATAATCTGAATTTTTTTTCCTATCAGTCGGATCCCAAGGAATGTCACTTGAATCAATTTCACTCGATATTGGTGGAATAAAAGTAGGTTGGGCAATTTCAGCTAAAGATGGTCCTAATGAAGATGGTCCTGATGTGGATGTTCTACTATAAAATCTTTCCATTGCACCTGTTATTGGGTTAAACAAAAATACATTAAACAATGTTGAACACAATTACCAAAACCATTAAACATTAAACAAATACAAAGCACTAAATTAGAAAAGACCTTTAAACAAAACAGTTAAAGAAATTTAATTTTTTCCATCTCTGTTAAGCTTAGTTCGTTTCCCTGTTGTCCCAGATAACCATCCAAAAGCAAACCAAGCCAAACTAACAAATCCATAGCACAAATTAATCTTTTGAGAGTGTTAAATTAAAATAAAATCAGTTTACAAATCAAAAATCCCAAATCAGAATTAATAAACCATTCAAGTCAGTTCATCAAATCAAACCCATTTCGGAAAATCAAACTAAATAAAGGGAATAAACTTACAACGATGGCGGCGATCGAAATTAGACGATGGTGGTCCTTTTGCGCGCGACGGTTGATGGTGTTGCTCAGCAAGTAGTGAGCGAAGTCCATCACTGCGTTGGCAGCGCTGCAGCGGTGTTGTGCAGTAGTGATAAGTTGCGGCGATTGAAGACGATGATGGCGGCTGTGGAGTACTATATCTAACTACAGACCATGAAAATTTGACATTCGGAGTTCTAATAAATTTATTATAATTTTTGAAAGACAACTTATGAAATATGTGACAATACATACCAGTTTAAGAAGATTGTGAATTATACCCTACAAGAAGTTGGAATTTGGTAATTTAATTCAACGTTTACAGAAACTAGACTCATCAAACTTTCCAGAAATCTAAAATTTATGATTTTTGGAGCTTTCGATATTCTTGTACGATTTTTAGAAGTTCGAGGATACATTCAGTGAAATTGATCATATTTACCTTTAGGTCACTTTAGGTGTGCCATGAAGGACTTAATGATTAAGCTTTAACATTAAAACATTTATCATAATTACTGGTTACTTATTAGGCTATCAATATATGTAATTCAACTTAACCCAAACGTCTTGATTCTTGGCTTAATGAGCATTTAGAGTTAGGAACTTGACATAAAAAAAATCATCTTATTATGGTTAAGTTACAACCCATTACGCTCCTTATGATACCAAATGTCTTAAAAATCGAGTCCCTCATAAAACTACCACCTATTGGTGGTCGGATGGTGGTGTTGTGGTGGTCTATAATGGTCAAACTACCCTAAAACATAATATGATGTTGATTAAGTATAAGTGGAATAATTGGAAAATAATGCTTTTACATTCATTTGTGAACCATCAAAGTAATACAACCATAAGCGCATTTGAAGGGTGGCCTATGGTGGCTGAAACAAACACACACACACATACACATACATTTGTATCAGGAGGTAGCTGGTGGTTAAGGGCGATAATCGACCACCAACTTCACAAAACAATAGAAATCGAAGGGCCAGTGGCAGGAAGTAAACGCACCACCCAAAACACCCACTTTGGGGCTGTTAGTGGTAGAAGGAACACGCCGACGATCATGGTTGCGGAAGTAGTGGTGGCTATTCCCGGTAGACAAAAGAAAAGGAAAAGAAAGTGGAAATGAGATTATTTGATACTTAATACGGTTAGATTACGATCTTTACCCGTGAGTACCTTCCTCCTCCGGTAACTATCGCCGATGAAGATCTTGACTCACTCTTCTTCAAAATCCATTTGTTGCCTTCTTTTATTATTTTTTTCTTTTTTCTTGATACTCATCCTTGGCACAAACGATCAAAAACTATGGTGCTTGAGTGGAGCTCTTAAGGGCGTACATAAATTGGAGTCGGCCACAAGAAAAGTGCCCAACTCTCTCCCGACGATCTCCAAGAGAGAAATACAGGTTTTACAATTTCATCCCTAATTCTCCCATAACGACACTATCTACCCAGAAAACAAATTTCTTGACTAAAGACATATTTACAACTTGTCACATTCAACCCCTTACCTTAAATTTATTATTATTATTATTATTATTTTGTTATTATTATTATTATTATTATTATTATTATTTTATTTTCACATTTGTTATTTTATTTCTTAAAATTTATTGAATGCCTTTCATTCGTTCTATTCACTAAAAGTTCTTTAGAATTTTTATCCATAATTATAATATTATTAATATTAATTAATGCTAGTTTCTGGAATTTCTAACGAGAATTAGGACGTTACATCCCACCTCCTAAAGCTACAATTGTTTATTGAGGCAACATTATTGACATGTACATTACATATAATTCGGTTCAATACTCGACCACTAAATACTCTTAATACATAGAGACTGCATTTATTTTTTTCTACCACATTAACGTAAATTCGGTCAAGCTCAAAATAGGCGGAAATCTTCATGATTGGTTTATTGAATTCTCTATTCATTGATTTCTAATTAAGTTTGATTATTTGAAAAAGTCTCCTCTCCTAATCAAACGATCGCAGGTGTTAGTGTATAGCCTGCCTATGGCCGGTTCTTTTAAAAGAGTTATTATATTTGTAATTATGAGATTTAGATATCGAGGAGAAGATCCACAGTTACCAAATGTTTAGGCACGCAAGAAACAGAAACACGTCTAGTGAATTTGATATAATAGACCTTGCTACACTTAAATTATATTTTAGGCATCTCCTGTTTATTCACCTATACGGAAATTTTTATATCAACAAAAGTATAGAACAGAGATTCTATGTGTGTTATTATAGTACAATAAAATCTCATAACTCCATTCGAAATAGTTCAAAAATTCGATTCGATAGGCACCTTGATAGATTATCCTAGTTTATATCGTAGTTTAGTCGGTATATCATAGCAACGTCTATCATAGTAAATTCACTATTGAACTTACTATTAAAGAAGGTCAATGGAAGACATTGTGAAAATAATGTCACATGCATATAAAAGTCAGGATATGGTAGCATGGAATGATTCTCAGATAAAAATAGATGGATCGGTTTGGTTATGATGAAAATCGATGTTAGTAGCACTAGGAATTTCATCTTGCCCATGATATGGAGCAAACTAGACATCTATATCTAACTACAGACCATGAAAATTTGACATTCGGAGTTCTAATGAATTTATTATAATTTTTGAAAGACAACTTATGAAATATGTGACAATACATACCAGTTTAAGAAGATTGTGAATTATACCCTACAAGAAGTTGGAATTTGGTAATTTAATTCAAAGTTTAGGGAAACTAGACTCATCAAACTTTCCAGAAGACTAAAATTTATGATTTTTGGAGCTTTCGATATTCTTGTACGATTTTTAGAAGTTTGAGGATAGATTCAGTGAAATTGATCATATTTACCTTTAGGTCACTTTAGGTGTCCCATGCAGGACTTAATGATTAAGCTTTAACTTCAAAACTTTTATCATAATTAATGGTTACTTATTAGGCTATCAATATATGTAATTCAAGTTAACCCAAACGTCTTGATTCTTGGCTTAATGAGCATTTAGAGTTAGGAACTTGACATAAAAAAATCATCTTATTAGGGTTAAGTTACAACCCATTACGCTCCTTATGACACGAAATGTATTAAAATTTGAGTCCCTCATAAAACTACCACTTATTGGTGGTCGGATGGTGGTGTTGTGGTGGTCAATAATGGTCAAACTACCCCAAAACAAAGAATGATGCTGATTAAGTATAAGTGGAATGATTGGAAAATAATGCTTTTACATTCATTTGTGAACCATCAAAAGTAATACAACCATAAGCGCATTTGCAGGGTGGCCTATGGTGGCTGAAACAAACACACACACACACATCGGCAGCAGGAGGTAGCTGGTGGTTAAGGGCGACAATCGACAACCAACTTCACAAAACAATAGAAATCGAAGGGCCAATGGTAGGAAGTAAATGCACCACCCAAACACACCCACTCTTTGGGGGCTGTTAGTGGCAGAAGGAACACGTCGACGATCGTGGTTGCGGAAGTAGTGGTGGCTATTCCCGGTAGCCAAAAGAAAAATAAAAGAAAGTGGAAATGAGATTATTTGATACTTAATACGGTTAGATTACGATCTTTACCCGTCAGTACCTTCCTCCTCCGGTAACTATCGCCGACGAAGATCTTGACTCACTCTTCTTCAAAATCCCTTCGTTGGCATTCTTTATTATTTTTTCTTTTTTCTTGATACTGATTTGGCACAAACGATCAAAAACTATGGTGCTGAGTGGCTTAAGTGGAGCTCTTAGTACATAAATTGGAGTCGGTCACAAGAGAAGTGCCCAACTCTCTCCCGACGATTTCCAAGAGAGAAATACAGGTATTACAATTTCATCCCTAATTCTCCCATAACGACACTATCTACCCAGAAAACAAATTTCTTGACTAAAGACATATTTACAACTTGTCACATTCAACCCCTTACCTTAAATTTATTATTATTATTATTATTATTATTATTATTATTTTTAGTTTTCACATTATTTTATTTCTTAAAATTTATCGAATGCCTTTCATTCGTTCTATTCATTAAAAGCTCTTTAGAGTTTTTATCCATAATTATAATATTATTAATATTAATTAATGCTAGTTTCTGAAATTTCTAACGAGAATTAGGACGTTACATCCCACCTCCTAAAGCTACAATTGTTTATTGAGGCAACATTATTGACATGTACATTACATCTAATTCAGTTCAACACTCGCACACTAAATACTCTAAATACATAGAGACTGCATTTATTTTTTACGACCACATTAACCTAAATTCCGTCAAGCTCAAAATAGGTGGAAATCTTCATGATTGGTGTATTGAATTCTCTATTCATTGATTTCTAATTAAGTTTGAACATTTGAAAAAGTCTCATCTCCTGATCAAACTATCGCAAGTGTTAGTGCATAGCCTGCCTATGGCCCGGTTCTTTTAAAAGTTTTATTATATTTGTCATTATGTGATTCAGATATCGAGGAGAAGGTCCACAATTACCAAATCTTTAGGCACGCAAGAAACATAAACACGTCTAGTCTTCTGATTCTTGATTCCGATCGATCTCAGCCCACATGACTAGTAATTGCAACACGATGCTTCTCGTTAACAAAGTAATATACTTTTAACGTTTATTCAAAAATATTTAACGAGACCAACTTAACCAAGATATAATTAGTCATCTCATACCTTCAAGACACAAGTTTTCCTATTGAAATGGAATCTATTAAAAGGAATGAGCGCATCATATGTATTGCCTAATTGACTATTTCTAGCTAGTGGGATCAGAATGCTTGGTCGCATGCATTCTACTATTTAAATTTAATTTGTTCAAATTAACAAATTAACTAACTTTTTCTTCAAAGATGCCACTTTTGATCAAATCAATTTTTATTTAAAAGTAAGTGTCAAACGAACAAAAATTACTCATGTTATTTATGCCATCAAAAATTATTATACTTACTTAATTAAGTAATTTATTCATGCTGTTATGCAGAATTTGGCTTCATTAGCACCACCATCCCATGCATTTATGCTCCCCAACTTATAGTCTAATACCATATGGGAAACTCTATATCAACGTCCATGCAAGGATCCCATATACTTTGATTATTCGAGAATTAAGCATTCCAAACAAAGTTGTTGTGGGTTTGAATCTCACATACTAAAAATTTGGTGGCCAGCCATTCTAAATAAAGTTTATATAATATCTTATAGATTTTATACGTTTAGAAAGATTTAGCTGTGAAAATTCAAAAATAAGGTTAATGTTTTAAAGTTATTGTCCTGCCAAAATATTGATCATAATGTTTCAAAAATAAGGTTAATGTTTTAAAGTTATTGTCCTGCCAAAATATTGATCATAATGTTTCAGGATTTACCCCCACATGATAACTCTACGGCGGGTTCGGTGTAGGCCGTCGGAATGATACATTTAACCTCTTTTTTTTTTCTTTGTTTTGTTTTTCATAGTACGTATCCCAAGTCTAAAGTTGTATTGACCCAAACTATTTTAATCAAAAACATATTTTTAGACAAGAGGAAGTATAAGAAAGAAATATGATATAAAATGTCTTAATAAGACAATGTATTTGTCGGATAAATTCATAATTAGAATTTGACCACATGCTTTTAGACATCTTTGTTAGCATGGAGATGATATACACTAGGAAAAGAAACCGACAGAAAGTAGCATTGTTGCTAGTTTTTCATGAAAACAATTAAAAGAATAAAATGCATCTGCTGAGTCTTTCTTCAACCGCTTAGCTGATCGGGGGTTTTAGAAAACAGGGATACTCTGTGGGCGCCTAAAGAAATTGTGAGGATCGACTTTGGCCTTCATTCGAATCAACTTCTTGAAGTTGTCCCTCTTCCAGTATCTCTCACCCCAAACACTTGCTTCTTCGTAGTTAGCACTTCCAACACCCAAATCCAGATCATTGTAGTTGGAATATGCCTCTCTGGGGTTGTTTGACACATAAGGCGTCATTAACGCATCCAAGCTTCGCAGCCAAGCTATCCTCCTGAGGGATGTAGGGGTTGTGTCTGAAGGTTGACCGTTAAAATCGACAGTCTTGAGAATTTGTAACAACATGCCCGCTCTATGAGGATATGGAATTGCAGTCTCTGAGAAATCAGCCATCCTTCCGCCAAATGGATTGATCATCAGAAGCGCTGATTCATCGTTTTGGATAAGCTTTCTCCATATCTTTCTGAGCCCACTTACGGGGATGGGTGTCCGGACATAATCTGATTTGCTTTTGTTGTTCAGCTTGGCAATGGCAGATCGGTTCGTAAGAATCTGAGTCGGGGTGGAGCTTGGCAAGCCCCAAAACACAAGGGTCGACTGGACCATTTTAATTTCTTCACAAATCTCTCGGGTAACACCGAGCTCTGGAAATTTTCTGGAAAGCAACGGAAGCAATGTGTCGGTTGTGCCCTGATATATTCCTTCAAACATAATTCTTATGGTTTTCTTGGGGTGTTGCCGATATATTCGGCAAAAACTTGAGTTCTTATGTGCAAATTTCTATCGATATTTGGTGCAACGTATTGATATTTATGGAAGATTTCGGTTGCCCCTTGTTCCAAAGTTTTATTCAGTATAAAGACGGTTACTTTTTTTGGAACTGGAACCAAGCTCAGCTTCCATGCAAGAACAATTCCGAAACTTGAAGAACCACCTCCTCGGATCGCCCAAAACAAATCTTCTCCCATTGATTTCCTGTCGAGAATATTCCCATCAACATCCATGAAGCGAGCATCCAGAACATTATCGGCAGCAGTACCGTATTTCCTCAACAGGTTTCCGTAGCCACCACCGCCCATGTAACCACCAACACCCACCGTTGGGCAAACACCTGCCGGGAAATACAAGGTATCGGTCTCTCGCGAAATTTTGTAGTAGAGTTCACCAAGCGTAGCGCCTGCTTGGACCCAAGCAGTCCTTTTTGCTACGTCCACGTCTATAGACCTCATGTTGGTGAAATCAAGCATAACAAAGGGAACATCAGCAGTGTATGAGAGGCCCTCGTAGTCATGGCCCCCACTCCTGATCCTGATCTCGTAGCCGTGTTTCTTGGCGCAGTATACACATGTTTGTATAAGGGTTTCCTCCATAGGTGTCACGATGACTGATGGTCTACGTGTGGAGGGCTTAAGGAACCTGGTGTTTTGAACTGCCACTTGCCAAATGGGTAGGAAGGAAGCATTGACAGGGGTGAAAATGAGTTGAGAGATGGTAGTCACATTCTTGGATTTGGACAGTAGGCAGCTTATTAGATCGCCAGAACTTGAGGATGATAAGGACGTTGCCCATGAAACACAAAACAAGAAACTTAGAACCATGAGCAAAACTGAAGAACTAAGTTGAGACTTCTTCATGTTTAGTTAATTTGGTGAGCTTGATCAATAGCAATGGCTTATTTACATAGAGCAGAGAGCATATAGTTGACTTCAAATGGGGTTATAAAAATTGTGATCAGTTCAAATTAAGGTGTTTGAAAAACCTCGGAACGAGGATGGTGATCAATTCAAAGGTGTTTGAAAAATGCGGGAAGGAGGATGGTGTTCAACTGATTCTATTTTAGGGTATACAGGTGCAGCGTTGAAGATATATGGCGTGTTGACTTATTCCCTATAGAGTGCTTAATTCGCATTCTAAAAACCAATGAAGCAATGAACAAATTGATATTACGTATGTTCAGATTTTTAGCCTTTCTCTTTTAACTTTCTGATTGAAATCTTTGCTAAAATTTGAACCACCCACGTTTTTATAATAATTATCAAACTCATAAATAGAACGTATCTCATCAAAGTATATTTTTCTCAAACATAAATTGAAAATATTTCTTACGAATATATGTGGTTAATTTCCTGGCGCCGAATACCAAGTCCAGGGACTAGTTTGTAGATAAAAGGTTGACTTTGACTTTGGAATATAAGCATACAAATTACAAAGCGATTTTACTTTTAACACTAATTCAAATGCTGGGCTCCTCACCGTTCTTAATTAATACTCAAAACCTAAAAAATATGATTAAGTTTCTTAATTATACAATTTTAATACATTCTTATTTAATATAAGTAAGTTATAGATTTCTTTAGAACAACTAAAATTAACATTTAAAATCCCCTAAATAAAGGTAGAAGAATTCGTATAGTAATCAAAACACATAATCCATCACTAAAATAGAATAAATAAAAATAGAAATCGTGTGATAATTATGCAAAATAAAATTTGGAGACTTATATGGTGAATTTTGGGGATCAAAGATCGGCAAATTGCCTACGCACTCAAGGCCTGTTTGGTTGCTACCGCCTACGGTCCCGGCCAAGGGTCGTTTGAAGGATTAAAGAATGAGACACTCATGTAGTTGGTTCTCTATCCAGACACAAGACCTGCTTGGCTGCTAACGATCATTTCAACGTCAATCAGTAGATTGTGATGAGACATTCAGGCCGGTTGTCAAACCAAAAAAAAAAAAAAAAAAAAAACACATTATCAGCAGTATGAAAGTCTGTCTATCTGCTAGAAAGTGGCGGATCCAGCCCGGAAGTCAAGTGGGGTGCATTGTTGACCGTTGACTATGTAAATTAATAATAATAATAATAATAAACACTTAAAAGTAGAATAACATTAAAATATTCAACTAAATGTCATTTTACAATTGAAATCTACGAGGGGACATAGTTAAGAAACGTTTGATAATACTTTCATTCGTGACCTTGGAAAATTCTTCTCTTTCAAGCGCGCAAATTTCACAATCATTTAAAAATACATCCGAAATCCGATTCCGCAAATCTAACTTGACAAGCTTCATCGTCGAAAAACATCTCTCCACCGTTGCGGTTGCAACTGGCAAAAGCAATGACAACTTCAATAACTGGTAAACCAAAAGAAAGTTAAGATGCATATTGCTTTCCACAATCACCTTAGCAAGGTCGGATATACTCTTCAAAGTAGCAAATCTTGCATCTTGTTTCATAAAAGTGGGGTAAACCCAAAGTTCATTTAGAATATTCAACCTATCTTTAAAGCTAAAATCATGTGGATAGAAATCGATCAACTTCTGTAACTTTGATTGGTCAAAGTCACAAAATGAATCATGTGGATTCAAACCTGTCATACAAATGAGCAATTCGGAACTGACTTCATTAAAACGATCACCGAACTCTTGAATTTGCATATCCAAAACCATGTTGAAACAAAAAAAAAACTCGTAATAATGGCGATTGGAGATATTGGTGTACTGTCTTCAGGCTCTTGGATTAACATAAACTTCCTCCATGTTCACCATTTGAATGTTATTATTCTCACAAAAAGAGGTGATATCCAAAATACGTGCATCAAACCCATCATTTCTCATATTTTTTTAAAGTTGCAGTGGTTGATTTTACCAAACTTATAACGGGATTAAATCGTCTTCCCCTATTTCCAAACATTCTTACACGGTACTTTTAAGACGCGGTTGACATTGTCCTTTAATCAAATATTTTCGTCTTATTTGTCTCTTTAATTAGGGTGATAATCTGAATTTTTTTCCTATCAGTCAGGATCCCAAGGAATGTCACTTGAATCAATTTCACTCGATATTGGTGGAATAAAAGTAGGTTGGGCAATTTCAGCTAAAGATGGTCCTAATGAAGATGGTCCTGATGTGGATGTTCTACTATAAAATCTTTCCATTGCACCTGTTATTGGGTTAAACAAAAAAACATTAAACAATGTTGAACACAATTACCAAAACCATTAAACATTAAACAAATACAAAGCACTAAATTAGAAAAGACCTTTAAACAAAACAGTTAAAGAAATTTAATTTTTTCCATCTCTGTTAAGCTTAGTTCGTTTCCCTGTTGTCCCAGATAACCATCCAAAAGCAAACCAAGCCAAACTAACAAATCCATAGCACAAATTAATCTTTTGAGAGTGTTAAATTAAAATAAAATCAGTTTACAAATCAAAAATCCCAAATCAGAATTAATAAACCATTCAAGTCAGTTCATCAAATCAAACCCATTTCGGAAAATCAAACTAAATAAAGGGAATAAACTTACAACGATGGCGGCGATCGAAATTAGACGATGGTGGTCCTTTTGCGCGCGACGGTTGATGGTGTTGCTCAGCAAGTAGTGAGCGAAGTCCATCACTGCGTTGGCAGCGCTGCAGCGGTGTTGTGCAGTAGTGATAAGTTGCGGCGATTGAAGACGATGTCGGCGGCTGTGGAGTACTAAATTACGGTGGCTGTAGAGTGTTTAATGTTTTTTTACTACTCTGTGCATTTGGTATGCTAGGTCAAAACTATAAAGAAAGAAGTGAAAAATCGGGATTGAAAAATCAAAAGAGAGAGAAGTGAGGATGAGTGGGTGTAATGGGGACCAATCTAGTGTGAGTGGGGACCAATCTATTGTGAGTGGGGACCATAAGCTGAGTTCTTTTTTTTTAATATGTATTCGTGGTGGGCCCACTTTTAAGTGGGGCCCATGCACCCCCTTCCCATACATTGAATCTGCCACTGCTGCTAGATGTGAAGAAACCATTTGTACACGACCACATGAAGGTGGCAATATACATGCATCGACCACCATGTTTTCGGGGATATCAAGTATATATCTTAATCGTATTTGATACCTTTATAAACTATTATGTTGTCTTAAATAGGCCCCGAAAGCATGGTACATTTGATTTGATCAACGTGCTACTAACATCGGTTTTCACCATAACCAAACCGTTTCATCTATATTAATCTAAGAATCATTTAATTCCATGACATACTAACTTCTATATGCATATGACATTATTTTCACAATGTCTTCCATCGAGCTTCTTTAATAGTTAGTTCAGTAGTGAATTTGCTATAATCGACCTTGGTACACTTAAATTATATTTTAGGCATCTCCTGTTTATTCATGTAAACGACTATTTTTATATCAAAAGAAGTATGGAACAGAGATTCTATGTATGTTAGTATACTACACTAAAATCCCATAACTTCATCCGAAACAGTCCAAAAATTGGATTCGATAGGCACCCCGATAGATTATCCTACTTTAGTCGGTATATCATAGCAGGGTCTATCATAGCAAATTCACTATTGAACTTACTATTAAAGAAGGTCAATGGAAGACATTGTGAAAATAATGTCACATGCATATAAAAGTCGGGATATGGTAGCATGGAATGATTCTCAGATAAAAATAGATGGATCGGTTTGGTTATGATGAAAACCGATGTTAGTAGCACTAGGAATTTCATCTTGCCCATGATATGGAGCAAACTAGACATCTATATCTAACTACAGACCATGAAAATTTGACATTCGGAGTTCTAATAAATTTATTATAATTTTTGAAAGACAACTTATGAAATATGTGACAATACATACCAGTTTAAGAAGATTGTGAATTATACCCTACAAGAAGTTGGAATTTGGTAATTTAATTCAACGTTTACAGAAACTAGACTCATCAAACTTTCCAGAAATCTAAAATTTATGATTTTTGGAGCTTTCGATATTCTTGTACGATTTTTAGAAGTTCGAGGATACATTCAGTGAAATTGATCATATTTACCTTTAGGTCACTTTAGGTGTGCCATGAAGGACTTAATGATTAAGCTTTAACATTAAAACATTTATCATAATTACTGGTTACTTATTAGGCTATCAATATATGTAATTCAACTTAACCCAAACGTCTTGATTCTTGGCTTAATGAGCATTTAGAGTTAGGAACTTGACATAAAAAAAATCATCTTATTATGGTTAAGTTACAACCCATTACGCTCCTTATGATACCAAATGTCTTAAAAATCGAGTCCCTCATAAAACTACCACCTATTGGTGGTCGGATGGTGGTGTTGTGGTGGTCTATAATGGTCAAAACTACCCAAAACAAAAGAATGATGCTGATTAAGTATAAGTGGAATAATGGAAATAATGCTTTTACATTCATTTGTGAACCATCAAAAGTAATACAACCATAAGCGCATTTGCAGGGTGGCCTATGGTGGCTGAAACAAACACACACACACACATCGGCAACAGGAGGTACCTGGTGGTTAAGGGCGACAATCAACAACCAACTTCACAAAACAATAGAAATCGAAGGGCCAATGGTAGGAAGCAATGCACCACCCAAACACACCCACTCTTTGGGGGCTGTTAGTGGCAGAAGGAACACGCCGACGATCGTGGTTGCGGAAGTAGTGGTGGCTATTCCCAGTAGCCAAAAAGAAAAAGAAAAGAAAGTGGAAATGAGATTATTTGATACTTAATACGGTTAGATTACGATCTTTACTCGTCAGTACCTTCCTCCTCCGGTAACTATCGTCGACGATGATCTTGACTCACTCTTCTTCAAAATCCCTTCGTTGCATTCTT